CCTGTGAATTTCGAGCTTCCGCTGTGCATATCTTCTCTCCGGTTTTGTGTGGATTTGCCTCCTTCGAGTCTACTCTGCAATTGCATGCGTGTATGGGAACGTGTGAATTCGTGTGGATTGAAGTTCAATCGGGTACATAGCACAGCCCATAATTATCTGAAAGCAGGGCAAAGAATTAATAGGCCACACGAAAATAAACAAAACAACCAAGGAAACATCCTTTCGCTGGAATGCAACCCCTATTCCTTTTTTTTTTTTTTTTTTTTTTTTTTTTTGAAAAACAGAACCTCAGGGTTCTGGCTCCTACCATTCTGGGGAGCGACAGTCCGGTTCCAATTCCCCCGGCAAGTCAATATGGAATACATAAAAGACTCACGCACACTCCTCCCCATTATGGCTGAGAGGCCCGAGTGGGCGGCATTGATTACTTCCATGAGGAAGGATGTACCACCTCTCACCCCTGCCTAATCTAGCCTGTACTTACTCTGCCTGCCAGTCTGTCTGATCCCGGATCTGCTCCTCTCAGCTATGAAGTTGTCGGGTATCCATGATTATACAAGAGCATTCTGGAACATTTATGCGCCTTTTGAATCCTCTTTAGCTCTATAACAGCATTAGCATTGTTCCTGTCCAAGCCATAACCCCTAAACCCTAGGTCTAGATGCTGTCCTGATTTATCGGTAACTGGACGTCCAGGTAGAAATTACCTCTCCTAAATCTGTCGCTGTTTTCACTCAAGCATCAGTCCGGTTGCTTTTTTGTATCTGCAACCCTTAAACCCTAAACCCTCTCTGTTTTTTGTCGAAATCCCATGTTGCTATTCCCCAAAAACTGTAGTTCCAGTATCAACTGTGTAAACGCCTTGAAATCTATGTCCTCCGTTTGAAGCATAAATTGTTACCCTTTATGATTGCCACCGCTCCTTGCCCCAGTATGTTATGAACAAAGAGTTTCGTTATCTCTTCCTCCTGCCCCTGTTGGAGGGTTATTTGCGTCTTTACTGCTTTCCACTGTGCTCTGAGATCCGTTTCAAGCAGTGTGAGAAATATTTCCCTGGCTTCCTGCTTGTGCATTGGTCGTCCTTGAATAGTGAGTTGACACCGGCGCTTCCAGATAGTCCAGAGGCCATATTGGCGTATCAATTTAAACATGCGTTTCTCAAAAGGCTGCCAATGATTCAGAATATTGAGTCCCAAGAAACGACAGATTTTGGAATCAGGGAAGGTAGCCTTTGAAATCTGGTCCCATATGGTCTTTACTTCCTTCCACATCATGTTTGCTTCCTCACATTCCAAGAGGCAGTGTTGCATTGTTTCTGGAATTCCCCTTCGACATACCCTGCATATTGCGCTCTCCGCATTTCTCAGTCTCGAGTTTCTACGCTCGTCCAACCATACATTAACAGGAAGCGCCACATGAGCTATTAACCATTGCATGCTTCTAACTGAACCTAGACGTATAGCAGTAATGCTTGACCATGGCAATTTAACCAATTGATTACCAGGTACTTCTACTCTCTTTTCCGAACACTTGAGCAGATGAGGCGTGAGCGTGTGAGACCTCCTCCTTAATCTATATCCAATTTTGGTGGTATAGTGCAGAATGTTAATTCTTCTTGTTGCACCTGTTCCTCTGCTCCTTAGCTTCCATGCCCATTCTGCTGGATCCACTTCCAAGTCTTCAATCGGCACAGATGGGCAAAACATTGTGTATTCATCCGTCTCCAGTACCCTTACCTTCCTGAGGTATTGTTTAAGAATGACTATCGGGACTTTGGATGCCATGTCCAGGAGAGAAGTTATGTTGGAAGGATGGACTATAGTGTACTTGTCTGCATGTAGCCAATCTTGTCTTGAAGTATCCTGGTTCCAGATCTTGAAGGCTTCCTTGGGTTCGTTATCATCACTCCATGTGGCCCAGTCCCCTTGTCCCCACTGGATTCCTCCCCGTAGCAATAGCTGCCATGTTTGTGGTATGGCCCGCAATATGACTCTACGGTTGTCAGCCAATCGGTGACAACCCTTTAAGCTTGTCCTCACTTCTCCAACAGTTTTCCATCTCTCTTCCCTTTCTTCCCAAATGTGCTTTATCTGCCAAACCCCGTGCTCTAGCCACCTTCCCCACTTTGCATCTTTTATTGACAGCGTGAGCGGCTTCCCTTGTGCGTCCTTAATACTGGGGTTGCCGAATAAAGGTTGTCTAAGTACTTCTTCCTTCGTGTTTGGCTCCTTTACTTTTGTCGGGAAGATATCTTTCCATAACTTCAACAGTTGTTCCCAATAGAACATTCTCGAGGCTTCAATGTCGTCCTCCTGATTTCTCCGCTCATTTTTGCCTACTCTTGCGCGGTGTTTTAAATTTAGCCATTTGTCTTATCTTGTGCAGCACCAGAGAAATCCATGGTAGCTTGTGTTGGGTTAACAGTCTCACTACCCATTTGGTTTGCAGTGCTTTAAGCTGGGTGTCCGGATCTAGTATACCCAACCCTCCCTGATTCTTTGGAGTAGTGACATGTTTGCATGCTACTTTGAATATAAAGTTGGTCTGGGTAGTTTTGGATGTCCAAAGGTAGGCAGCCGCTCTTCTTCTCAATACCGTTGTCGCGGACTTCGGTGGTGTCCATATTGAACCTGCATACCATAACATGGGGAAGATGGAGGCATTGAGTATGAGGGCTCTCCCGTATATGGAAGTGTATACTGCCGACCAAGATCCCAGCTTGGATAGAACTTTTGCCATTAGATCCGCCGCCATCGAGTGATGTGCCCCTGCTTCCGTAATCTTGATACCTAAATATCTGATGGAACTCGCGTTGTTGTCCACCTCAACCCCTCCGAACTAATAGAAGGGGGGTTATCCTCCAGATCCTGATCTACTAACCACCACCCCTCGGTTTTTTGCCAGTTAATCTTCATTTCCGACGCAAGTTGGAAGGCTTCCATAGCTTTCGTCAGTGCAAGGAACAATGAGTCCGTCGCCCTTATGAGCACCGTCAGGTCGTCTGCAAAGAGGAGAACTGTGGGAAGCTGTACATTGTGTCCCTGTTGTTCCGGGTCTGCTACAAGCCTTTGGATTGATGGGTCTTTACGTAGAAAGGATGCTACTGCCTCCATTATGAAGAGGAATATCGGAGCGGCTAGGGGGTCTCCTTGCCTGACCGACCTTGCCATCCTGTAAATGGAAGATAAGTGTCCATTGACCTGCACTTGCCCTTGTGCATCGTTGTAAAGAACTCTTATCCATTTCCTGAAATCCGGACCTACTCCCATCTTTTCCATGCATTGCTGTAGAAATGGCCAGCTAACCTGGTCATATGCCTTTTCAAAGTCGAAGAAGAGGATAGCGGCATTAATTCGCTTATCCCGAATGTAACGTACTGTTTCCGTCAGGGTCATAACATTATCCAATATGAATCTCCCTGGTATGAATCATGTTTGATCTATATGGAAACAGACCGCTGTTATTGCCGTGAGGCGGTTCGCTAATACCTTGGCAACTATCTTATATGTTAGAGTGAGCAGCGTTATCAGCCTATAATTTCTGATATCCGATGGGGTTCCTTTTTGTATATCAAAGTGACGATTCCGGTTGCCGAGTCTGGACCTAATCCCTCTGCTTGCCATGCCTTTCCCAGAAATGCCAGATAATCGTCCTCCAGAATTGGCCAAAATTCCAACAAAAACTCTCTGGTTAGTCCGTCCTTTCGGGGAGTCTTGTTGGGCGCCATGGATTTTATTGCTTCCCATAGGTCGTCTTTTGTCAATGGGGCATCCAGCTTCGCGGCCTGATACTGCGAGATTGTAGGCTGTAGATAATTCAGAAACTTGGCTCGCGCTTCCTGCACGTGTGGTCTTGGGTGTTCATCTTCTCTCTTGGTATACAGGTCGCTATAGAAATGTAAAGCCTCTTGCAACATCTCGTCCTTAAGTAAGGTCGTTCGGTCCTTGTAATTGGTTAATAAGGTTGTTCCTTCCTCTTGATGTAATTTTTCGAAAAAATAATTTGGTCATTCTTTCTCCTTCCTCCCATTATTTAACCCTGGACCTCATTTGCAGTCCTCTTGATCTCCAACGTTGCCATTCTGCCAATTCCCCTCTCGCTGCCTCCAGTACTCTTTCATAAACATCTTGGCCTGGGAAGTTGATGATGTTGCACTCCGCTAGTCTCATCGCCTGCTGTAATTCCTGCTCCCTTGACTTTCTTCTAGCTGCCAAGCATCTAGCTACACCTGACAATGCTTTGGAAAGTGCGAGAAGCAATTCCGGGAAAGTCTGTGTATCTGAGTTATGCGCCTGACACACTTGCAGTACTGCCCATCTCATTTCGCGAAGGAGTGAGTTATTTAGTTTGTAAAAACCTTTACCCCTTTTGACCTGTTTATCCGTAACAAGATGAAGAAAAATTGGCTTATGATCCAAACCCGTTTCGTAAGGTAAATCTCCTATTCCCACCGTGTGTATCATACCGATTATGCTTGACGATATCAAAAAATAGTCTATCCTTGATGCTGACACATGTTGACTACGGTTTCTCTTCAAATAAGTAAACCGTCTTTTGTCCGGGAAGTGCAATCTGAGTGGGTCCACCAGATCCTTGCATGTCATCATACTGTGGATTGGTAAAGCTTCTTCTGATAAGCCCTCCTCCTACTGTCTGCTCCCTGCAGCCAGTCTATCGACCGTCGGATCTAAAGTCGCGTTCCAATTCCCTGCCATTACTAGGTGTCTATCCTCATCTAAGATAACCTGAAGCTGTTCTATAAACTCTATCCTCTAATGGGATCCATTGGGGCAATACACTGCCATCAGCGTATATGCCTCATCGTGTAACTCGAAGTTAACCTTCACCCATCTCCCATATGTTTCATCGACTGTGACATTGTTGATCGCTATCTTGTCTGCCATTTGCTATTTATTATTTTGAAGTGCAACCACCCCCGCCAAATGAGGAGTAATTGTTGGTGCCCACCACGCCTCTTTGAGTCTCTAAAAGTTGTGGACTATCCTATTCTTTATTTGTTGATGCTCACTTGACGTTATGAGGTGTGTTTCTAGAAAACAAACAAAGTGTGGTGGCGATGCACTAAACCAATCCGTGTAGTTGATTATATTCTGCCATTTATGTTGGTTGTCTAGCACTCCTGCCTAGCCATTAACATTCCTGGATGTAATTTTAATTTCCTGGTACGCATTGCTATTCTCTCTCCTTACCCGCTTCCTTATTCTATCCTCCCTACTATCCTCCATGTCTTAACTGTCCATGGTCTCTTTTAGTGCCATAGCTGTCTTCTAAATTCAAGAGCCCAGCAACGCTAAATCCATCTGTGTTGACATTGGACTGATCCTCTTTTCCAAGAAGTCAGGCTTCCACTCAAAGGAATCCACCTTGACTGCTACTGCCGCACAACGGGCAACCCACTCCGCCGCCATTTCCCCTCCCAACAATCTGTAGGGGATGGTCTCCACCACCTGCCACGGCATCCAAATCAGGTCGTCCCTCAATTTCGTCTTGTCTTTCATATGCATGAGCAGCGGTCTGAAGTCAGCCGCCGCATCTTCTCCCCCCTCATCCCCGACATCCATTGCCTCCTCTCTCCTATCCCCTAATATGTATGCCCGAGACGGTATTCCTTCCCCAATTATTTGTTGTAAATCCTTGCCCTCACAGTTGCTAACAAGCGTCGTGATGAGCTGGAGCGAGCGATGAATTGCCACCTCCCAATCTGCGTGCTTGTCGTTCCATCGACATGGTAAGATAACCCTCCTTCTGGCTCCGTTTTTCGCCTCCAACCTTGCGGCGGCTTCCATTTCCTTCAACTGGACCTGAGCATTTTTTTGCAAATTGATCGTTTCCTCCTCGAACTCTCTGTTCTCATCTTTCAGCGCATTTAACGGAGCCTCCAATATTGTTGCTTGCCTCTGCAACTCCTGTTTTTCCTGATCCTCTCCCTCCTCATGTTGCTTGTCGTCTTCCTTCAGTGACTGGTCCCGTGTCGCTTGTTCCGCTCTACTTTCCTGATCATCCTCCCTCTGTGGCTTTCTCTTCCGGCTTGTCGCTTTACTGTTCTTGTTCTGGTACGTCTTCGGCCATTGGAAGATCTTAGCATAATCATCGTTATGAATTTGAATGTCGTTGTTGAGAGGGCGTGCTTTTGTCGCATACTGGGCCGCATAGAATTCATTAATCTCCCCTTCCCTTTTTAACAGCTCAAAACGGTTTTCCGAGGTAATGTCGTCCGCCATTTGGGTTGCGTGCTTCAAGTTCCGTAAATGCTTGTGATGTGCGAGCCTGATCTCGCATTCGATTGTTCTTCCCCATTCCAATTGTTCCACAGTCCGGATCCACTGTTGGAGCGTTATGTCTTCCTCCTCCATTGACTCATCTCTCTCATCTTCTTCCCCTGATGATTGGTCATTGTCAGAGGCTGCAGTAAAATCTCTCTGGTGTTCTTCCACCTGTAGTATTTCTTCCACCGTCAGATTCTCACCATTTTGCATGCGTTTTCTTTTTCCCTCAATATCGCTGACCGATGGATCTGGTGTGGTCGCGTCGTGGGATGCATCTGTGGATTCGCCTTCCTGACTACTGGCCCCTGGTTGTGTTCCTTGGGTGCTTCCCTCCCTACCCTGTGTTGCTCTGTCTTCTGATTCCGTTGTGTTGCCTCCCTCTGTATTGTCCGTTTTGTTATCTGTCTGTTGTCTCTTTGTTTTCTGGCTGTCTTGTTCATCTGTTCCCTCTCTCTCCCTTGAGGATTCTTTTCTCTTCAAGGAGTGATTTTGTCCGGTTGTGCTTCCTCCCTCTTCTTCCCCACATTCCATGTTTTCTCCCTACTCCTCTCCCTCAAAAGTCTCTGCGCTGCTCCCTTATCTCTCCTGTTGCGCTTGTTGTTCCTGCTGTTGCTTCCTGGCCGCCATATTTTCCAAAAAAAACAGTTCTGCATTTCTTCCCAGCTCGTGGAGACTCTCCATGAGCTTCAACCTTTGCTGGTCATCCCCTATCATTGTGTCATCAATCATCGGTTTCGTTAGATAACCTATCTCTTTGTCCTCCATCCTTTTGGCTCCTATCTGTCTCCATCTGCTATCGTATGGAGGGTATGTATCCGATTTGACTATAGGTTCTCTAATGAGAACCCACACCCATCTTGGTGATTCCAAGTTGTCATCGAATATCCACCCTCTATACTGTGGAGCGTTTATATACCAGACCCTTGGTTTGGTTTCACCCTCTTGCAGCATCGACTGTCGCAATGGAGGTTATTTGGTGGCTGTTCCTCCTTGTGGACAAGAGGTTCCCAAGTGTCCTCGCCCTCTGTAGTTGAAGCAGAAGGGATTTGTTTGGTTGATATGAATATGTTAATCCTCTGACCACTTTTCCTAAAAATCCACTGATCTGGAAATTTCGGTGGTGCTCCTGATTTCACCTCCAAACATGTAACACGTGAGTCATGGTTAGGTGCCAGAAAATCAGGGTTAGCAGGAAGCCAGTCAATGATAGGGTTATTGGGAAATTCCTCAACCAGTCTCCTTTGCACAAAACTGTGCATTCCCTCAGACGGATTGTCGAATTGCACCCAGAAGTGATTCCTCATCATCGTATGCCTGTGCCTTGACGTCTCCGCCTGCGGAGGGCGTGGTGGTTTCCATGGTTGAATGGTCACTACCGCCCCCTTGCATTTCAGCGAACCGATAGATAGAAGGTATTGCGCGTACGTGGGATCCACACAGACTATGAACCTACCCCTCTTATGACAGGATACATCCGGTTCCCCTCCTGGTATGTTCTCCATCGCCCTGAGCCTGTCCATCACCCATCTTCGCTTTTCGTTGAGTGAGAGCTCACGACTTCTTCCCGAGAAGTTGAACAATACAGCGTGCTTCTCATACAATTCATTTAGTGTTTGAATATCTTCCTCTGGATATTCCCACACTTCCACCTCCTCTTCTTTCCCCCCCTCTCCCTTGATTACCTCCTTTGTGACTTTGATATCCGCTGTGATTTTTGTTTTTTCCATTAAAAATTCCATTGCTTTCTGTCCCAGTGTGCGCGGCTTAGAACCCCCTGCGTTCATATTTGTCCCCGTTTCTGAAGATGATTGGTTCCCATTTGGATACGCCCGCGTTCTTTTGAATTCCCATTTCTCTCTTTCGCTCATGGCCCACTGTGCTGCTGCCGCATAGGAGAGAGCCATGTTTGATCTGTCGTTTCTCTTCGTTCCTTTCCGTCTCCCTTTTCCCCTGTGTCAATGCTAAAAAAACAAAGTAACGGCAAAAATGTAGATGGAACGACTTTCGTCGTTCGTTGTTGTCTGTTTCTGCTTTCTGGATCCTACTTGGCACTTCCCCCGAAACCTTTCCTTTCCCTGTCGCCATATCCTTCTATGTTCAAGAACGAGCGTGAAAACAAGAAAATAGACAGAATCACTTCCCCTGTGTCAATGCTGAAGAACCAAAGCGACGGTGAAAATGTAGACGGTATGATTTTCGTCTTTCGTCGCTGTCTGTTTTTTCTTTGTGAATCCTACGTGGCACTCCCCCCGGAACGTTTCCTTTCCCTGTCGCGATATCCTTCAATGCCGAAGAACGAGAGTGAAAGCAAAAAAATAGACAGAAACACTTCCTCTGTGTTATTGCTCAATAACCAAAGTGACGTCAGAAATGTAGACGGAACGACTTTCGTCATTCGTCGCTGTCTGTTTCTTCTTTCTGGATCCTACGTGGCACTCCCCCTGGAACCTTTCCTTTCCCTGTCGCGCTATCCTTCGATGTTCAAGAACGAGGGTGAAAGCAAAGAAAATAGACAGAGTCACTTAGCTTTCCTTGGCTTGGGTAGTGGCAAGTGGTCGATAATCAGCCGATCCTGTGAAGGCGTCTCGGGAAGAAAATGCTGAGGTGTCCTCGAAGCTGTACTCCAATGCAACAATTCCCTTACCTCTTTCTCCCCAAAGTTCCCTCACCGCTGGAGTTCCGAGTAGCGATTATGGTGTAATGGTCGTCAACAACCCCCTTCCCCTACCTCATTTTCTCTACCAAACTCCTTTTCCTTCAACTCCTTCACCTCTCCCTACTCTCTTCTCCTTTCTGCGAGAGCGTCCTGAAGATCCCTTGATGCTCTTCGTCGACCCCGTCTCCCCTGTTGCGCTGAAACAGGGATGGCGCCTACTCACGAACCTGCAGTGCGCAACTCAATAGCGGCAACGCACGATCCCGATGTGCGCACCCCGATGGCGCCAGCTCACGATCCCGCTGTGTGCGACTCGAGTCGCGATCCTGAAGTGCACAACCCGAGGGCGGCAACTCATGATCCCGAAGTGCACAAGCCGAGGGTGACAACTCACGATCCCGAAGTGCGCAGCGCGAGGGCGGCAACTCACGAACCCGAAGTGCGAGACCCAACTCACGATCCCGAAGCGCTCAACCCGATGGCGGCAACTCCCGATTACAAAGTGCGCGACTCAACTCTCTATCCCGAAGCGCGCAACCCGATGGCTGCAACTCCCGGGCGGCAACTCCTGAACACAAAGTGCGCGACCCGACTCTCTATCCCGAAGCGCACAACCTGACGGTTGCAACTCCCGATCCTGCAAGGCGCGACCCGAGGGTGACAACTCACGATGAGGGCGGCAACTCACGAAACCGAAGTGCGCGTCCCAACTCACGTTCTCGAAGCGCTCAACACGATGGCAGCAACTCCCGATCACGAAGTGCACGACCCAACTTTCTATCCCGAAGCGCGCAAGCCGATGGCGGCTACTCCCGATCCCGCAAGGCGCTATCCTATGACGCCGACTAACGAAATCGAAGAGTGCGACCCGATGGCGAAAACTCACGATCCCGAAGTGCACTACACGATAGTTCCAACTAACGATCCCGCAGTGCGCGCCTGTAACCCGATGGCGCGACCCATGATCTCTGAGTGCGCGACCCGATGGATTGCGTATCTTTTGCTTCACCTTCGTCGACAACCTATCCGTCACTGCACCTGAAACAGCGATGGCACCAACCCTCAACCCGAAGTGTGCTAGTCGATGACGTCAACTCCCGCTACCGAAGTGCGCTGCCTGGTCGCGTAGTGCGCTCATGCAACCCCTATTCCAATTTTCCAATATTTCAATATTGCAATATTGTATCTATCGTTCCTTAATCTGTGAGCACAGTGCAGAAACACAGTGTCAGGTCCATCGCCTGATGCATTGTGTATTGGACTTCATGCTGACCGTCTATTTTTAACGCAGTTACCTGCGCTCGGACTTTACTTCGTCTGATGTGTTGTGTATTGGACTTCATGATATATTTTTAACGCAGTCGCCTGCACTCAGACTTTACTTCGTCTCGACTACAGTGTGGTGCGAGTCCGTGTGACGTCTCATTGTAAGCAAGTGTGTCTTTGAATCATCGATTCTGGCGCTTCAACTGACGTTCTCGACACAAGAAAAGTGTGACTGGGCCGGACTTGTGTTGTCGTGTTCTCTATACACAACTGCATATAAAAAAAGCATGACTGCGCCAAACTGTTCTGTCGGGACTTTCACTGACTCATAAGGAGGTTGAACCCCAACAGTCTTCCCAGGATGCATTGGACTGAGGGATAAGGACTCAACACGTCACCTGGAGTTAGTGATACCCCTGAGAAAAGTGGTTTGCTTTCCTCACCCCAACACAGTGACTGCAACCCAAGCAGACTGTCAGTCCAATCCCCTGACAAGAATGGCACGGAGTCTGAAGAGAGAGAGAGAGAGAGAGAGAGAGAGAGAGAGAGAGAGAGAGAGAGAGAGAGAGAGAACGTGGCATGCCAGCACAGCGTCCCATAAAATCCACTCTACATGTGTGTTGTCATATTTGCTATACACTCAAAAAAAGCATGACTGTGCCAGATTGTTTCGTCGGACTTTCACCGACTCGTCAGGAGGTTGAACCCGACAGTCTACAGGATGCATTTGACTGATGGATAAGGGCTCACCACATCGCCCAGAGTTAGCGATAGCCTGTCTGTGTGTGTTTTACTGACTGTGTGCATGTGTGTCTGCGCGATACTATGTGACCTGATGCTATGTGTACTGGGCGGTACTGTACGGGCTGGGGGATAGGATGGGAGGGGGAGAGGGCGGGGTACTATGTGAAATCAGTGGTACAATATGGGGCGGGTGGTACTATGTGCACCCGATGGTACTACTATGTGAGCAGAGTGGTACTATGTGAACTGGGTGGTAGATGGGTGGTACTATGTGGGTTGGATGGTGCTACCTTGGCCAGGTGGCTATGTCGACTGTGGCACCATGTGGGCTGCATGGTATTATATATGGGCTAAGAAAAAAGCAAAGGAAAAGAGGAGCTCCTATGGCCTGTGCATCCTGTGCACCCTTTAATAGTGTCATTCTGTCCGGGACCTGCTTTGTATCGAGAGTGTGTGAACAGCAATAGCTTTCGCGGCCTTTTGGCTAAAAATAGATAAAGTGAAATGTATCTGTTCTGATCAGTTTAATATCTGATCCATGGTCCATCGGACCACAAAAAAAAAAAAAAAAAAAAAAAAAAAAAGAGTGGTTGAGCAGGATTTCAATGACAAAACGACAAAAGATTTACCTGTTCCATGCTTCGGTGGGACTCAAAAGAAAAGCAATTCTCCCTGCCCTCCCCGCCCAACACCACCTTCCACCCCCCCCTTTCAAAAAAAAAAAGAGAAAAAAAAGGGAAAAACCAACAACAACCCCTCTCATCAGGAAACACAAAATCCTCTCATGGTGAGCAAACAGGAAAAGGAGCACCGTCCGCCGACTGAGACAAGGACCAGGACCTGTCAAAAAAAAAAAGAAGAAGAAGAAGAGACAAGGACCTGTCTCCTGCTGGATTTGAGTTCAGGTCTGCTTTTCAACAGTTAATGCGTTTACCATTCAGACACACGGGCTGCTGCGTCTGTGGCTTTTATTTGGGCCACCCCACCATGACTTCTCCATTTTCCAAAAAAGGAACCTCCTCTTCCCCCATGCCCGCATATCCTTTTTGAGCGCATACTCACAATAGCACTTTCCTGAATGTATCTGACGGATTCTGACCCCAATTACAACAGCATTGTATGCATCTGACTGCAATCACGTACAACAAACAGTAGACAAAGTTCTAGTGTGAGTATGCCCTGAGCAAGGTGATCTCAGCCCCTTCTTGCCTGGTCTACAATGACTCTACATCCTTTTTTTTTTCTTCTTTTTTTTTTCTTTGCCTGGTCTATGTCCTGACTAACTAGTCCTGTATGCTGTCTACTTCTTTTTTCTTTTTTTCTTTTTCCTTTTCTTTGCCGGCTGCATGGCAGTGCCGAGAACCATTGCCAGAGGAGTTCCATACACTCTTCCTCAGAAAATCAAGGTGTGTCAGGCAAAACAGTATCCCCCCTTCTCTTTTTTGCCAGGCAGAATGCTACC